TTTGCCAGATTCTAGCTTTAAAAATAAATCATGGGAATATTTGAGAACATGGAATCTCCCCATTGTTCCAGGATCATAGCAAAATAGGCAATAGTTGATATTTATCATTGCTAGAGAGAGAAAAAATCATGTATTTTATCCTTTTGTGTGTGATTGGCATCCTCTGTGAAAAGATGTGCATTTTCATAAGACAGGAAATTATCCTAACAAAGGAACCTTATTTAAATATATCAGCTGTCTTTTAGTATCCTTTGAGTTCCCTGAAGTTCCTCCTATTATTCTTTTTAAGAACTATCTACTTAACATACCTGTCTATTGGGAAGATTTCATTTGTCTTGGTGTCAGCTATAGATCAATTTTTATAAGAAAATTACAATATCAGAAAATTACAGAAAGTCTACAAAGACATTGCTTTTTAAAAGTCACCACAGTTTGACAAAGAACTTTTATTTTTTTCACTTTTTACTCTGAGGATTAAAGTTTGATGTTGCAGCCTGGGAATTCTGATGGTGGGAGCTAAAACCAGATACAGAAGAAGAAAATGTGGTTAAGTAAACACCACAAAGGTTTCACACAGTCAGTAAAAAATTTCTCCTAAAATAATATTTCATTTTTGAAACATTCTCTCTGATTATATTTCACAATTTCTCTAGCACTCTGAGATGAAGAAAAGTACACATATTACATTACTCTCATTATGTATAAAGTATTTGTTTCATAAAATTGTACAGTATTCATTATAACACTTGTCGAAAAGCAGGCAATTATTAAACAGATCTACATTTCATTATAGGTTTGCTTATTGTGCTTTTCAGGGAAGTAAAGGGGTAAATTTAAGAAAAATTCTTTGTGCTTTTTTTTTCTTTCATTTTAAAGTAGTTTCTTTACCTTTGATTTTCAATTAAAAAAAAAAAACAAGACAAATCTTATTGGACAAACATTTCCTACTGTTTGAAATATCCCCTGGCTACTGTCAGAGAGGAAGAAATTTTTCTTTGTCCAAAGTTCTTCTAGTTGGACTAAGAATTAAATTTCCGCGAGACAGATTAACAGAAGAAAATCAAATTTAGTTTCCTACCTACAGGGAATCTACACAGATATGGAAATTCCAAAGACAGGCAAAATGAGGTATATATATCATCCTGAGCTAAGGAGAGTGGTAAGGGAGGAAAGCCACTATAGCAGGAAGGTGAGAGATGTTTGGAAAATGAAGGTTGCCCTGTTGTGCAGGTAAGTTTCTTAGGCAAAAAGGAATTTCTACAAATAGCTCTTTTCCTGGTACAGGTCCTCTATCTAATTTTTTTTTAGGCAGTTGGCGGGGAGTTCAAAGTTTCTACCTGAGTCTTTTGGGTCTTGATTATTTTCAGTTCAAAATAATCTACCTGCCATTGCATGCCCATCTTGGGTATCCTGCCTTTGGCCCCCACACTACAAGATGGCACGTTAAAGAAACACCTTAGCATTCCCTTCCTTTCCCCTGGCTCCATTTGCAATATCTCCAGTTGTAAGAAGTCAGTGGAGTAAGGATTCACAAAATGCTCATTTAGTGCAGAGCATGATATTAGATGTTAGGTGTAGGTTTGTGTGTAGATGGGATGGATTGGCCTGGGGCTAGAGGGAGAGCCGCACAAGGTTGACTACAGTCAGACCAAAATAAAAGGAATAAATGAATGTTAAATGAGTGAATGAATGTTAGGAGAGGGGAAAAAACATAAGAAAAAATGATAATTTATCAATCTATCAGTAGTTACAAATACGCTTCCACGATATTCAGCAACAGTGTAAGTGTTCATGCTATTGTGAGAAAAATCCATCACTGGCTATCAGGAGAATGTCATTCATTCATCCATTCATTCATTCATGCATTCATTCATCATCCATTTAGGGTCTTTTCTCTCTCAGGCACTTGCAGTCTGTAATTACTCATTGTGTAACCTTGAATTAACTCCTCAGAATATTACTCACATAATATTTTGTGTTTGTTATCTTTATGCCAGAGCCTAGCAGTGCACCTCACACATTAATTGTTCAATAAATGCTAGTTGAATGAGTAAAGGAAAGACCAACTAATCTTTCTTAGTTATTCATTAATAAAAGAAGCCTCCCCCTTTAAAATATATATATAAGTAGTGTTTTTTATGGAGGGAAAGAAGTGTTGCTCTCAATTTTTCCTGTGTCACGTGAATACTCAGGATGGCATTTCCTTCATTTGCTTACTAACAAGGCAGTGGTTTTTATAATTTAATGAATTCAGTATTTTCTGTGCATGTATCATCATAAAAAATTTTTAGTGACACACTGCAATCTGATGTACTTCTTTTACATTTAAATAAAAACAAATGTAAATATTTTTTGCTATTTCAGTTTCACGTTGCTTTATCACTGAAGGCATCTCATTTAAAATTTTAAAGTGCTAAACAATCCCCATTGTCTATGGATGTATCTCCTCATTACATTTTTGGGCCGTTTGAAAACCTAATTTCAGTGGTTCCAATATATGTGTATGTAAACAGACATAAACATATAGTCATGCACTATCCTGAACTTTATTACATTCCCCAGATGATTCATTTCTGTTTTTTTAAAGGGGGGAAAATTAAACTAACTTTTAAAATGATGAGTAACAAGTGTTTACTTAGCATCCACTATGTACAACATAACTCTATTAAGCACCATTTCCATCATAAAAAGAATTAAGACATTTTCCTTTATGTCCATTAGTGTCTAATTGAGAAGACTGACCACTACATTGGAGTAAGTCTGAATTTTAGATTCAGTCACATTGTTTCTACTACCACAAATTGTACTGCATTTCCTCTTCCTTCAAAAAAATTTGGACAGTAATATTTTACTTTAAAGGATTTACATCCTTTAGTTACACGTCCCAGGAAAACACAAAGCCCCTTGTAGAATCAACTACCCAATTTCTCTTTTGTCCTTCCTTTCCTTGGTCGTAGAAAAGGTAGTCAATAGCCACTGACCTACAGCAAAAAACGATTGTCTCAAGAAAGTGAGTCGGAAGAAGAACAACTAAGCAGAATCACAGTAACAAATAACCTGTACACATGATAAATATAAATAGGATTTAAACAAGGTAGATGGAACCAGGGGAGTTATCAGAACCCAGGAAATTAGGCAAAAAGGCCAGTCAAAGCTACTTTGATTAGAAGCTCACTAATCTATACAGAGTAGTTACTGGGAGGCCATTAACTAACTGGTAATACAATGAATAAGATGATTCGGTAGGTCATGTGAGTAACTCTTGTACCAGTTACCCCTTTTAACTCGGGGCAATATCAATATAAATTGTTGGCTAGTGTCTAAGAATGAATAAGACCCTGAGCTCTTGAATTAATGTATCTTTAAAGGGATGTTATCAGTTTCTGGAAAGTAATTTAATCAACATAGAATCAGTTGTAGAAGTTGTGAAAAACTTAAACTTTCAAATTTTCTCATAGAACAACGATGCCTATATCATCCTATTTGAAACCTGCTGTATATAAACCTGAAGTTAAAATTATTGATAATGAATGTATGTACACAATAGGATTTTCTATTTGGAAATATTTTGAATCAGGACCTAAAAGTCCCTTATAAATTAGAGATAATAGTATTCACTATCAATTAGATATGTATCTATTCTTATAGTTTTAAATATGGTTATCCAGCTATAGATCTAGAAATATGTACATAGACTGATATGTAGTATAAATTCTTTTTAAAATTGCATTATATAAGGATCTCTATAACAACATCTGTATTCATCAGAATTAATTAACTATTTCTATCCTGAGTATTCTACAGGAAACTCTTGTTAAAAAAAAAATAGTGCTTACTTTTTTATAATTCTGCCAAATCTCTAAAATGTAGCAGTAAATAAGAAATACCATTGTGCTATTAATAATATTACACTGTTAATTTTGCTTGAAATGGAAAAAACTTATTATGGGGTATGATATTAGTATTACTTCTAAATTTAAGATGTAAGTTTTCCTCAGACGATATGAATTTATTCAATCTTTTTAAAGCTGAAAGTTATTTTCAATTTTTAAATTAAAAAATAAACAAGTAAATTTTGTTTTTAAAAACACTGGCAGACTGCTGGTCAGTGGTTATCCTCATTCATAATAGTCTGGCACATCTCAAAAGACTAAGAATTGATCATGGAATGACTTCGCCATCTAGTATTGTGCGCACATAGTCAACAGTAAGCTTGATAAACAGTGAGTGCCTAGTATGTAGACCTAAGTCCTGGGATAGTGTTTCTACACTTGAGAAGCTTACATCTGAACACGCGTGAACTTGATAATATTTAGGATACTAGACATTTGTTTGAATTTTTCCTTTTTCCATAAATATTTGAGCACCTACAATGGTGAAGTTACTAGGCCATGTATTGTGGTGGATACCACGATGAATAAAGGACAGTTTTCTGCTTTTCCATTGCTTGTAAACAGATAAGGTAGGCTGCTATGTATTTTAATAGCATTGCAAAGCAAATTGTGACATACAGTGTCAGACAGCTATAAACAGAGCAATATGGGAGTTCCAAAGAGGAGATCACATCCAATTGAGTAGGCTAAGGAATACCTCAGGATAGGTGAATTTTAAGTTTGACCTTGATTGAAGCTGGAAACAAATGAATGTTTAAGATAAGATTATGTGACCACACCATGAATAAGCACCTTGACTAGACAATTAATAATAATGAGCTATTTTAAATTAGATATCTTGAAGTTCTTATATACATTTGCCTTTTCCTTCCCTTTCATTATATCTACATAAATCTAAAAAACAAGGTCTGCTATTTTAACACAAATTAACATACCATAGAAATGATGATAGACTTAGACTTACTGTACTTGTTATTGGCTGATATTTGCTCAGCACTCGGACCAATTAAAGACCTCATGAAACTTTGTTTAGGAGATTAATAAGGTATGGGAACAAATTTTAAAATTTAGTTTCCCTCTCAATGGATTAATTTATCGTAGTCACGCAATTTTTTTTAAAAGTTGGTAACTCACGTCTTTTTATTCCGAGCAGAGCTATAAAATGGATTTAGAACTCCAGGAGTTTTATAACAAAACCCTTGCCACCGAGAACAATACTGCTGCCACTCGGAATTCTGATTTCCCGGTCTGGGATGACTATAAGAGCAGTGTGGATGACTTACAGTATTTTCTGATTGGACTTTATACATTTGTAAGCCTTCTTGGTTTTATGGGCAATCTACTTATTTTAACGGCTCTCACGAGAAAACGTAATCAGAAGACTATGGTCAACTTCCTCATAGGAAATTTGGCTTTCTCTGATATTTTAGTTGTGCTGTTTTGCTCCCCTTTCACACTGACCTCTGTCCTGCTGGATCAGTGGATGTTTGGCAAAGTCATGTGTCATATTATGCCTTTTCTTCAATGTGTGTCCGTTCTGGTTTCAACTTTAATTCTAATATCAATTGCCATCGTCAGGTATCATATGATAAAACATCCTATATCTAATAATTTAACAGCAAACCATGGCTACTTCCTGATTGCTACCGTCTGGACACTAGGTTTTGCGATTTGCTCTCCCCTTCCGGTGTTTCACAGTCTGGTGGAACTTCAGGAAACGTTTGGCTCAGCATTGCTGAGCAGCAGGTATTTATGTGTTGAGTCGTGGCCATCTGATTCGTACAGAATTGCTTTTACTATCTCTTTATTGCTAGTTCAGTATATTCTGCCCTTGGTGTGCCTCACTGTAAGTCATACCAGTGTCTGCAGGAGTATAAGCTGTGGGTTGTCCAACAAAGAAAACAAACTAGAAGAAAATGAGATGATCAACTTAACTCTTCATCCATTCAGAAAGAGTGGGCCTCAGGTGAAACTGTCCAGCAGCCATAAGTGGGGCTATTCATTCATCAGAAAACACAGAAGAAGATACAGCAAGAAGACAGCAAGTGTGTTACCTGCTCCAGCAAGACCGCCTCAAGAGAACCTTTCAAGAATGCTTCCAGAAAACCTGGGTTCCGTAAAAAGTCAGCTCTCGTCATCCAGTAAGTTCATACCAAGGGTCCCCACCTGCTTTGAGATGAAACCTGAAGAAAACTCAGATGTTCATGAAATGAGAGTAAACCGTTCTATCATGAGACTCAAGAAGAGATCCCGAAGTGTTTTCTATAGACTGACCATATTGATATTAGTGTTTGCCGTTAGCTGGATGCCCCTACACCTTTTCCATGTGGTAACTGATTTTAATGATAACCTTATTTCAAACAGGCATTTCAAGTTGGTGTATTGCATTTGTCATTTGTTAGGCATGCTGTCCTGTTGCCTTAATCCTATTCTGTATGGTTTTCTTAATAATGGGATCAAAGCTGATTTAATTTCCCTTATACAGTGTCTTCATATGTCATAATTCTGAATGTTTACCAAGGACAAAACAAATGTTGGGATCGTCTAAAACATATTAACAACTCCGTATGTACAAAAACAAATTTTAGTAACATGAAATTTAATTTATGTATCAGAGTTCTGGATTTGAATGTCAGTTCATAATATGTGGAAGAAAACTTACATGTGTTATATATAATATGATGAATTCATTTAGTTGTATAAAGTCAGTGTCAATGCAATCTATAATTTCACTTTAAGGAGTAGTTATATTAACTTTCACTTCATCTTGTCTTGTAAACAAACAAATTGCAATTTTTGTTTAAAATAAAAGTTGTATCTAATCAACTCAGTATTTTTTGTTCAAAATTATAGCAAACAAAAATATTTTTCCTGAGGATCATCTAATTTCAAACATGAGGAATATATATTACCTATTTATCTTCATTTCAACTTCACAGGCTTCTTAATATTTAGTTTGTGAAAATACAGAAAACATTTAGTATGCTCAGTAAATCATAACAAATGTTAGATGTACGCCCACATCATGATTATAATTGTAAGCATTGGGTACAGCTTTGGCAGGAAAACACTGATTTCCTATTATTGATAATTGGTCAAATTGTTCATTTGCCCCACTGTCTAGTAACACACAATTAATTTACCAAATAAAAGTAGATTTTAAATCTTTTCTGGTCTTATACCACATTAACGCTATCAAAGAAAGATTGTTTTCATATATATCTTTTATAATCTAAAATGTGAAGTATAAATGATATCTGTATTTCCAAATATTAATTAATTTAAAAATATTTCAAGTGTCCATGGGGGGGGAGGTTAATTTTTTTGGTCAAGATATAGAATGATTGATAGACTTTGTGCTATTTTCAGTACTGAGGTCTCATATGCTATCTTACTAAACTTTTCAATGGAAACTTTTTGTTTATTTCAGACAGTTTTTTGAAAAACTGAGTCCCTGAGAATCACTGAATGTTTTCACAAACGGCTCCTATGTGCAAAATAACATTGCCATCTTCAGTTCCTATAACTGATTTAACCCTCCCCTGTATTGATTTCTGTCCACAAAGAAAGCAACCAAACAAAACAAGAAACATTTTAGGTTTGCAAATAGGTAATCCTGGTAGTTATCTAATCTATTGAAAATCCAAAATCTCTGTGGGGGCTTTCTTTCACACACCCTCCTCTTCCTTCCCTAAGTGTTATCTACACATGGAGGGAGCTGAAAATAGTTACTGGTCCACATGGTCCCCTATGCTGGCTCCCACTGAACTCCAGCTGAGGAGTAATTCTCTTGCCTGGTTTCCATGTTATGTCCACCTGTACAATGTATGGCTTGTTCTCAGCAAGGTCAGGACGTGAGAGTCCAGCCCCAGTTCACCCCTGCTGACATTTCATTGACTGTGTGGTTGCACGGAGACTCAGCCATGCCCTCCATTTTCTTCTGAGCCTAAACAATCTGCTCTATTGGTCTTGTACCTGCCAAGTCTGGCAACTGTTGGGAAACTTTAAATTCATGACCAAGAACTCTGCAAGAGCTTATGAAATTCTTCTCACAGATATCACTAAGAACTGAGGCAGGCAACATGGGTGCACTGGATCCTTCTCTGCCCAAACACTGTAAGCTGCCATTTCTCTGCTGTTCTGTTCACCCTATGTTGCTACAAAAGCACTCTGCTTTTCAGTCTCTTTCTAGATTTTCAAATATGAAACTGCATACAGTCCCCTCTACTTTTAGCTTCTCTGATCTGTCTGGTGCTATATGAGTGTCCACTCCAAGTTTTTATATGACAACAGGTAGAAAAAGTCTAAGAACTTTGGTCCATTCTTGGTTTTCTCTTTCTTTTTCTCTCCTTTTTATTCTAAGGGCCTATACCTCTTTCTGCCTACCAAGAATGTCCCCTAGATCTTCATTTTTCTCTTCACTCTGGCTTATGGTAAAACCATGTTCAGAACGTCAAGGTTTGCTTTTGGAAGAGAAAGCTTTTGTGATTTAAAACTTTTGCCCCTCACAGTGCCTAGCTTCAAGACTTGTCTTACTCTAGACCAAAATCAAAGAAGTTTAAGTCGAAGAATGACCTCTTATTTTTAAAATCAATAGGTATTTTCACTTTCACTGGGGCAGTGGATTTCAAGGTTTAATTTTAGTGGCTGGGGTGGGGGGATCTCCCTGATAAATGCAAATATAAACATAAAGAGAGGTATTTTATCCTGGTGGAGTAACTTACATTAATAAATGTAGAATACCTGTCAAACTTCACAGATTTTATGCTGCTGAGAGATGAATGTAGTTAAACTGGATAAACTAATTTGGAGCTTTTAAACTATTGAACTCAAAGGAAGAAATTCCTCTACCCTAACCAGAAGTGACTGAATGTTCTTAATAAGTGAAATTTGAGAAGTCTAAACAGATTGGTGGATAGAAGTCATGGAGGGGGGTGGCATGGGGGATAATCGTTTTGGAAGGTTATTATGAATGATCATTTCTTCTATGGAGACTTGGTTAAAAAGTGAAACAATTTATGTTCAATCAACTCTCCATTGCTCAAGAGCTGATTATCTTAACTCTCCTATTCTCTTCTGGTATCTGACTTGATTACTTGTTCCATAGCATATTCACAATGCATGGCTAGGGGAAATAAATAGAGATGAAATTATAAGCAGTCAACCTCATTACTTTTAACAATTATTTTAAAATATTTATTTCAGAAGAGGTGTTAAATTGAGTTTTGGTGCTTATTTAAATTATTCCTGCTGGCTATGTTGCCCATTACTGTGGGTGATAAAACACTAAATAAAAAAACAACAACAACTGGGAAATGCACAAAGAGCAACTAAAATGATTAAATAATGAAGCAATGTATACGAGGATTCCTTCATTCAGATAGTATTGAGGACCTGCTGTGGGCCAGGAACTCTTGTAGGTGCTTTGGGAATAACAATGAGAAAGAGCCCTGCTATTTTATGTTTGTCTTCTGGGAGAAGGAGAGTCAGTGGCAGGAGGTGGACAAACAATAAGCAATAAGAACAATAAAAACAGAATTAGATAGAAATGACATAGTATACAGACAGATGTATTCATTTCCTAAGGCTGCTTTAACAAAGTGCCACAAGCTGGGTGGCTTAAAACAACAGAAAATTATTGTCTGACAGTTCTGAAGGCTGAAAATCTGAAATCAATGTGCCCACAGGGCAACGCTCCAGTGAAAACTCACAGAGGAATCCTTCCTTGCCTCTTCTTAGCTTCAGGGTCAGCCAGTGATCATTGGTAGTTTTGGCAGGTGCATAACTAATCTGTGCCTTCATCATCACATGACATTCTCCCTGTGTCTCTATGTTCAAATTTCCCTCTTCCTATAAGGACACCAGTCATGTTGGAGTAGCCCCCACCCTTGGCCCCATTCCAGTAAGACCTCATCCTAATTTAACTAATTACATTTGCAACAACCCTATTTTCAAATAAGGTCACATTCTGAGGTCGTGGGGTTAGGATTTCAGCATGTCTTTTGTGGGAGATGGGGGGTGCAGTTCAACCCATAACAATATAGTAGCGAATATGAGTAGTGATAAGAGCCTTAGAACAATAAAGAAGAGAGTCAGGAAGGGTATGCATTTGGCAGGAGAAGCAGGAGAGTTGGAGGTAATTTCTAATGGGATGCATCCATAATCCGCATTGAGAAGATAACTTTTGTGCAAAGATTTGAAAAAGGCAAGGAGTCAGCTGTGTGGCAGTAAAGAAAAAGAACACTCCGGGCAGAAAATAGAGCCAATGTAAAGGCCTTGAAGTTGGAGCGCACTTCATGTGTTAAAGAACAGGAAGGAAATTACTGTAGCAGGAGTATAGTCGAGAGAGAGAGTAGACAAGGAGCTAATTCAAGGACAGCTCTTATAGGTTCTTAACAGGCATTCGTAAGGACGTTGATTTTTACTCTTCAGAAAATTGAGAGCTATTGTGGATTTTGACCAGAGATAGGATAAAATATAACTTACATTTAAAAGGATCACTCTAGCTATGAGAACAGACTATATTCCTCTCTCTTTTTTTAATGTCACAAACATGAGTGCTTAATAGTCATCTATCTATCCATCTATCCATCTATCATCTAGATACACATAGTAAGGCATTAAGCATACCTATGTGTGTGTGTGTGTATAGAGAGAGACACATTAAGCATTCCTCTTTCCTAAAATCACATATATGTGTATGTGTGTGTATGTGTTTTAATTCTGTAATTTCTTATACATTCCTTATCTACAATTCTTTGTTTACATTTATTGGTTTATTATAAAGGATATTATATAGTATATAGATAAGCAGCCAGATGAAGATGCGCATAGGAAAAGGTCTGGAAGAGTCCCAAGCACAGGAGCTTCTGTCCCTGTGGATTTGGGGTGTTCCACTCTCCCGACATGTGGATGCATTCACCAATGCAGAAACTCCTCAGACCTGTAATTTAGAGATTTTTATGGAGGTTTCCTCATGCATGCATGACCAATTATTAACTCAATTCTCAGCCCCTCTTACCTCTCCAGAGGATGGGAGGTGAGGTTGAAAGTTCCAAGCTTCTTTTTTTTTGAGAGAGAGAGAAGAGTGAACGTGAGGGGGAGGGGAGCGGCAGAGGGAGAGGGAAAGAGAGAATCTCAAGCAGGGTAGGTGCTGAGGGTGGAGCCTGTGGAGCCCAGAGATCTCACAACTGGGAGATCATGACCTGAGCCGAAATCAAGAGTCTGCCTCCTTAGGGGCGCGTGGGTGGCTCAGTCGTTAAGCGTTTGCCTTCGGCTCAGGTCATGGTCCCAGGGTCCTGGGATCGAGCCCCGCATCGGGCTCCCCGCTCAGCGGGAAGCATGCTTCTCCCTCTCCCACTCCTCCTGCTTGTGTTCCCTCTCTTGCTGTGTCTCTCCCTGTCAAGTAAATAAATAAAATCTTTTAAAAAAAAAAAGAATCTGCCTCTTAACTGACTGAGCCACCCAGGGACCCCTGAAAGTTCCAAGCTTCTGTAATCATGGCTTGTTGTTTCTGGCGACTAGCCCCCAACCTGAAGCTATCCAGGAGCCTACCAAGAGTTGCCTCATTAGAAAATAAGACATTTCTATCATCCAGGAAATTCCAAGGGATCTAGGAGCTCTGTGTAAGAGCCTCTTAACAACCCCATCATTCAGCAAACTACAAGGGTTTTAGTAGCTTTGTGTTAGGAACAGGGGCAGAGACCAAATATATATTTCATCTTATTTCACAGCGATAAAGAATGCCAACATATTATGACTCTACTCTTCTTACACATCATACATTAAAATCTACTTATTCATAGTATTCCATCCTAAATAC